TACACGTGCAGATCGACACACGCTGACCCCCAGGAGTGGTGGTAGTGACCATCGCGTCCTGGAGGGCAGCGGTACTCACCAAGTTTGTAGAGAACGAGGGGAGGTGAAGACCTGACAGTGAGCCGGATGGAACCGCCAGACACGGGAGGAGAGTGGAGGAACGGGCAATGACCGGGCCCCCGGAGTGGTCAGCCAGTCTGATCGGGACAGGTGCAGGGAGAGGAGTGAGGGTGGTGCTGTCGCGAAAGAAACAGCGTGAGGCACCTGAGTCCAGCGTGAAGGTGTGCAAGGCCTCAGCAGGGGCAGTACTAGGGAGAGAAGACTCACTAGCACCTAGAGCAGCAGCTTCTATACCTGGGTCAGGCGGCACACACAGGTAACAGTCACCCTCAGCACTAGCGGACAAAGCATACATAGTAGAAAGGATAGCATCATAGGGTAGGTCAAAGATCGCAACTTGAGACCTAAGCAGCTCTGCCAGGTGGGGGCGGTCGACCTCATCACCACACTTAGCGCGCCAAGTGTCGTCGAGGCGGGAGAAGCAGCGGTGCTGAGTGTGAGGCTTCCCGCATGTCTGACCAGCACGGTCACCCGTGCGAATGAAATACGGGCAGCTACCACTACCCCCAGACACCCCACGCTGAAACAACCACTCACGAAGCTACTGGGGCGACGGGGTCTCGCTCCGACGCTGCTGCCGCTGCTTTGGCCTCCTCCAGAACCTCCACGCTGAGCTCCAGTCGTACCGCCACCACTCCCGCCGCTGCCACTGCCGCCACTCCCACCGCTGCCTCCACCACCGCCACCCAAGCCCCCACTCCCGCTACCACTCCCACCGCTGCCACCACCTCCACCGCTGCCACCACCTCCACTGCCACCACCACCACCACCGCCACCCAAGCACCCACTCCCGCTACCACTCCCACCGCCTCCACCACCTCCACTGCTGCCACCACCTCCACTGCCTCCACCACCTCCACTGCCACCACCTCCACCGCTGCCACCACCTCCACTGCCTCCACCACCTCCACTGCTCTTCTTCCACCACCCCTGCCACCCTTGCCCTTGCTGGTGCGGCTGTTCCCACTAGCGGAAGCAGCTCCAACATCCTCAGCACCAAGGACGTCAATAGCAGCAGCAGAGGCGTAGGAGGGGGCAAGGGTGGAGGGTGAACACCCCTAAAAGAAGGGCGTGCGAGGAGTGCCACGAGCAACACCTACAGCAACTACACTAGTCTCAGCTGCAAGGAGGTGCTGCTCGAGTAGGTCAACAGTGAGGTCTGTGGGGTCAAGCGCGAGAAAGTGGTCCCTGACAGCGCGAAGAGAGTCAGGGAGGCGGGTGACTATAAAGTAGAGAGTGATGTACATCAGGGGCGGGTTCTTGGCAAGGAACTCTGCTAGGAGGGCAGCACGGTAGCGAGCATCGCTAGTGCGAAGGTGGGAAACAAGGTCCTCTACTGTGGCAAAGGCGGACAGCTCAGGAAACAGGTAGGGCAGTAGAAGACGGCCTAGAGCAGCAGTGGCAGGGGAGGAGTAACGGGCGACTACAGCGTCGTACAGTGCCTGTGCTGTCCTCTGCTGTCCGAAGTGAGCGCATTCGGCCAACGGAAGGTGGTTGCGAATGGCTAAGCGAGCAGCAGCGTCACAAGTAAGCCACTGTGAGCGAGTCGCACTGTGAGCTGTGGCGGGAGGGGCGGGAGCGGCGCCAGACGTGTGGTCAAACAACGAAACACTAGCCCTAGAGTCGGTTAGTAGGTACAGCTGCAAGTCGTCGAGCCACGTGTCAAACTGGATTGGTCGGCCCTCATGATCGAACGCTAGAACGTGGAGAGAAGCCATAGTGGCGCAGCACGCAGGGCGGGCAGACGCCGGGCAACGCAGGGAAAAGGGGCAGGCAGCAGGCTGCAGGAGGGGCGGCTCGAGGGCCTAGGCGCGGCCACGAGGCGACTTGTCGAGGCCTAGGGGGCGACAGGCCGTAGGGCCAGGGGCTAGGGGCGACGGGCCGCGGGGCCAGGAGCGACGGGCAGGGAGCCTAGGGCATCACAAAAACCCTATGCCAAGTTTGGACGAATTTTGATTTCGATTGTCTTCGCGTAAAAAAATCCGGATTCAATTTGGACCGACGGTTGGAGTCATTTGATAGGAGCTCCGAGACACATCTCGTGACAAGGTTTGGCTCGGTTCAAGTTCCAATTTGGCACGCGTGCTTTTCCGGATGACATTCGGGTGCAATCCGTTTTGGTGCAAATTCGTGACCAAATTACTCAAAACTAAATTCTGTGTTTTTTTTTTTTTTTTTTTTTCATTTTGGTTATTGAGGATTTCAAAATTGCATTTATTATTGCAGTTTACAACAACCATTATTCAGCATTCTAGCAACAAGCAGTCTTAGCACCAGGTCAAATAGCCTACGCACCGGCGGGCCTTGAAAGCGCCCGGTGGGCAAGGACGACATCTCCAAGGTCGCCATCGTCGATGAGGAGCTTGTTCGGAAAGACGAACGCACCCATAGCCGGATCGTGGGGGATCCTCCGTTCCACGACAGCAAAGTGGAACATCTGTTTGACCTTTTCGCACCACTCCTGGTAGTCTGGCCTATTCTATTCCGGCTGGCTACTGATTCGCTTGCAACTCTTATCCTGCAGAAGGGGCCATTCGATCTGCAATGTGGTGTAGGGTTGGGTGGATGGTTTATGAGGAGGGTGGGTTACAGGTAAATGAGCCAACTGAAAGCGGTGATTCAGTCGTCACTATCTACGTAACTCCAAAGGCTTAATCGACCAGGGATTTAGCTGAAGTACAGGCAAGGGGTGAAGGGGATGAGGCATGGGGGTACAAACACATATCTACATCCTTACCGAAAACAAGCCCCATGCCACCATGCGGCTCTTGAACTTGGTGAACATCGCCCCACCCCTCTTGAAGGAGAGCTTAAACGCATAAGCGAACAAGGGGTTGCTGAAGGGCGTCCCGGTGGCCTTGTCAAAATGCCAGTTGAGGGCCCACTGTTCTGCATTTTGGCAGGGAGGGTATGGGTTGGAAAGGGTTTTGTAGAGAAATCAAGTGGGGGGATGAGAGTCAGGGTGAGCCACATCGCACGGTGATATGTAGCTGCCAACTGGCATATGGTGTTTTCCAGTTGCACATACCATCTTTGTACTTGACTAGGAGATGATCGTCGTCGAACCAGGTCGTTGGGTGTAGCTCAGTGGGCAGGCTTTCCACGAGATGGCTGTAATCGGCAAGGCCCATGCCGGTGAATGCTGCTGGCCTAAGGGTGGAGTTGATAGTTGACCTTGTTGAGGACAGCTGGTGGTTGAAGACTCCCATGGTTGACTTGTCATTGTGCAACCACAGCAGCTTCATTGCCTCGAGCCCTTTTGCTGACAAGTGGACAGAGAGCGCGTCGAACACTTCCTCCGGTGCAGGGTAGTACTGTATTTTCTCCGGCGGGTTCAGAAACATGAGCTGAGAGCACACTAAGTAGGCTTTGTTATGCGCAGGGGTGTAGGGTATACAACACGACATGGGAGAGAGAAACCAGCAGTTATGAGGGTGGCCGCGTGACCAGGGGATGGTGACTAGCAACACTGTGTGAACTTGCCACGTCACACCCTGCGCCATCCGCCACGTCCACCAACAACCCGCCCCACTTGCCACATCACACCCCCCTACCACAAGCCACGTCACCCCCCACCCACCTGACACGCCTCGCTTTGTCATGCGCCGCTCACATGTACCCTTTCAAACCGCCACGTCATCCCCAACCCTCACCTTCCGCCACGTCACACCCTCCTGCATCCACCACGTCTACCAACAACCCGCCCCACTTGCCACGTCACACCCCCCTACCACAAGCCACGTCACCCCCCACCCATCTGACACGCCTCGCTTCGTCATGCGCCAGTCACGTGTACCCTTTCAAACCGCCACGTCATCCCCAACCCTCACCTTCCGCCACGTCACACCCTCCTGCATCTGCCACGTCCACCAACAACCCGCCCCACTTGCCACGTCACATCCCCCCACCCCAAGCCACGTCACCCCCAACCCTCACCTTAAATGCCTCGTCTCGTCATGCGCCGCTCCTTTGTACCCATCCCAACCGCCACATCATCCCCAACCCGCACCTTCCGCCACGTCACACCCTCTTGCATCCGCCACGTCATCCCCAACCCTCACCTTCCGCCACGTCACCCTCCCCCACCCCAAGCGACGTCACCCCCCACCCACCTAACACGCCTCGCCTCGTCATGCGCCGCTCCCTTATACCCTCCAAAACCGCCACGTCATCCCCAACCCTGCCCTGGTTGCCACGTCAACCCCAACCCGCCCCATTTGGCTCGCCACATACCGGGAATGGGTTTGTCTCCTGCAACACTAGCACTCGTGCCTTGTCCATGGCACTCATCGGCGGCGGGGTACCTTTCATAGGCACCACTGCGGACCCCCCGGCATAACTGGCAGGTGCTCCATGACGCAGGCCGAGCTGAGCAAACATGGCGTACATCTCAGACCGTAGCGCCTGGAACTACTCCCGTGTAACAAACTGCTCGTGCTCCGCACTTTCACCTAGGGCACCCAAGAGCGGGGGAAAAGGGTGTGAAGAATCCCCCTTCTGGCCAAGGGGATCAACGTCTTCTGCAGCAGTCCCGTGTGCCCTCACACTATCACGCTGGCGGGAAAAGTGCAGCTCAGGGAAGGGATTGGCAGAAGTGCTTGGCCCTTGCCCGCGCGAAGGACCGGCGAGGGGGGAGACGGCCCTGCCCCAGACAGGAGAAGCGTGGAGCTGCCGATATGGGTATGAGGGTGAGGCGAGTGGGGAGTGCGTGACGTGGCCTGGTGGAGGGGATTCGGATTCCTCTCCTCTTGGTGCACCAGGTGCCCTGGCAGCGACTTTAAACGGGCCGAAGTATGGCGTGTAGAACCTTGGGGCTCCTGTGGATAGCGGGGTAACACTCACTCTTCCGGCCCCCTTCGTTAGCTGCATCCGTTGCACACTTACCGGTGGCCCAATGCCTGTAACACGAGGGGCTGAGATTTATAGGGAGCAGGAGCACAAAATTAGAGTCGATTAGTTTCAATACAGGGGCACACATGCTTGCATACGATCAGCGGTTTGAATCTAAATCGGGTTATAACGGGTACTGTTTTGTAACAAGAAGCCTTACCTTGCTTTGCAGATTCGTCGACCTTCTCCTTCCCTGCAGGGGAGAAACAATGTGAAGAAATGTGCTAATTGGCACGGTTGAGCAGAGAGTTCAGCAGCCACGCCATGTGTATGGGCCACAGTGCTTTCCTTTCAGCTGTCCCTTCGGTTTTTTTGCTGCATGCGCCTTCTTGTTGCCACCTTTCCACGGGGTGCTTTGGCGGCCGCTGCGACGTTTACCGGCTGGTTCTTTCTTGCCGGAACCCACTGGAACCCCCTTAGCACGGCCGCCCTTTCCTTCACCATCCCCTTTTGATCCCTGGCTCCCTTGCTTTTTACCAACCCCTTCGCTTTCGACCTTTACTTTACGCGTCTTCGGTTTGCCCGCTGCTTCGCCACGCGGGGCGTCACCCGCCCTGCGTTTTCGGGAATGGCGAGTCCGGCCCCCCACCTTCCCTGTACCACTCCCCCGTCTGCCTCGCCCGCCCCGTCCTTTCACTGCCGCCACATCCTCCTCCTCCTCCTCCTCCTCCTCCTCCTCCTCCTCCTCCTCCTCCTCTTCCTCCTCCTCCTCCTCCTCCTCCTCCTCCTCCTCCTCCTCCTCTTCTTCCTCCTCCTCTTCCTCCTCCTCCTCCTCCTCTTCCTCCTCCTCCTCCTCCTCCTCCTCCTCCTCCTCCTCCTCCTCCTCCTCCTCCTCCTCCTCCTCCTCTTCCTCCTCCTCCTCCTCCTCCTCCTCCTCCTCCTCCTCCTCCTCCTCCTCCTCCTCCTCATCCTCGTCGTCCCTCTCCTCCTCCTCCTCCTCCTCCTCCTCCTCCTCCTCCTCCTCCTCCTCCTCCTCATCCTCGTCGCCCCCCTCCTTGTCCTCCTCCTCCTCCTCCTCTTCGTCCTCCTCGTCATCATTCTCATCTTTTTCTTCCTCCCCAACATCCGCGTCCTCCTCCTCCGCATCCTCTTCATCCTCCTCTTCCTCCGCATCCTCCTCCTCATCAGCCTCCTCCTCCTCATCCCCCGCACCCCCCTCATCCTCCTCCTCCGCAGCATCAGGGTCTTCTTCGCCCCGTTTCGGCCTCTTCCCCCTCGCTGCTTTCTTGCCCCTCCTTCCGCCGGATGTTCTCCTCGCTGTGGGTCGGCCCTTCTTGCGCAATGCATGACCCGTCGCCTTGCCACTTGCTTCCGTGGCACCTCGCATTGTCCCAACTTCCGCACCACCGGCGTCGTCAGTACCGCCTGTTGTCTGCCACCTCTTCGACCGCGTATTGATGTCCCCGGGCACGGCGGTGTCATACTCTTCTTCCCCATCGCTCTTCCTCTGCCTACGCCTCCCACGTCCACCAGAATGAGGAGATCCACCTACATCGGCGATGCTGTGTTGGAGATCCTCCATCGAATCGTGCTCCCCCGCCTTGGCCTTATCCACCACGACAGCAGAAATTTCGACCACGGTCGGCTGGAGCAGCGTCAGGCCGTGTTGGGATGCCTCCGCGTCGGACTCCTGGGTTGCGGCATGCTCGGCGCGGGGAGCGTCGCCGTGGTTTCCCCCTGTCGCCGACCCCTCTCTCTCCGCCGACGGGACTGCAAGACTCACGCTCCCTCGGCCCGGATCTTCTTTGCCGCCGATGGTGCCATCGTTAGTCGGACCGGGATCGGTTCTACCAGAGGCAACATCCGCATCTTTTTTCACGGTAGAAACACGCTTACGTGGCGTTGGTTGCTTCCCCTTCTCTTCCGCCTTCTTGCCGGAATTCTCCTGTCCAAACGCAGCCTTTTTTCCCGCCAGTTTTTTCAGCCCTCTGCCACGCGCGGCGAACGCATTAGTACCTTTAGAGCCGCCACCACCCTCCCTATCGGTCTGTTGAGACAGCCTCCTTGTCGCGCGACGTCCGGCCTGTTCCTCGTCCTTTTCTTTTTGCCGTGTTGCACGTGTCATGGTTGTATTACAAATGCGAATTTCTACAAGGCAGAACGGTGGAGCCAGTTTCGAAGGGGAACCGCAAATGAATGTAACGAAGGGAGAGTCGACGGTCTATTCTATCATCTCTCTCAGAAAATCTCCGCTTCAATCAATACTGAAATAGTAGTCACTAAGAGCTACGGCCCATGAATTAGTCGACTGGTGAGTCACGGGCGATCTGGAAACGCCTGTGTCAAACAGCGAGCAGCGTCAAAGTTGTGGGCCAGAGGGTGACGCAAGCAGGTGGGTGGGGCACGAGGGTGGTTGGGGTGGCTTGCGCGACTAGAGAGATTACTGTAATCAGATCAGGCTAGATCGGACGGTGTACGTGTAGCCACCCGATCATAAACCCACCCACCGCTCGATCACAGCCGCTCAATGGCGGAAGTACCGCTTGGCGGGTGCTTGTGTTGCGGGAGGGGTCGTTTGAGATGCGTCGGCCAATCAGTGTTGCCAACGCATCAATCACTTGTTATGCTAGAACAGTTTTTGAACCAATTGAGCGAACGCAACCTAAACCCTGCAAAGTACAGTGATATCGCGAACGAACAATGTTGCACATACGAGCTAAATAACATTTAAAACTACAACAAATACAATCAACATAAAATTGGTTGCTAATGTAATAGTCTGGGGTTGTGGTAAGGTAGTGGGTTTGTATCATGTCACACACACAAAGAGCGTCCAGAATTATTACTTCATATAATTGAACTAAGCACTATTAGGCTATGCCACAACGGTTACGCGTCGCAGTACGAAATCTAACACGACGATCACTAGTGCCAAACGAGAAACAGCTGTGGTATGGTGTTGGATTGTGCTCAACACTTGCATGGACCTTATAAAAGGTGCATAAAGGCTGTGGTATGAAGCACAGGGCTAACGCACAAGCGGTGATGCATTATCGACAGCCATGTTTAGACAGGGCGATGTTGCATCGTTCAGGCCCATGTTTTGTGCGACATGGTGAAAGCGTTGTGGTATGGTGATGGATTGGCCTCAATTCTTGCATGGACCTTATACAAGGTGCATAAAGGGAGTGGTATGAAGCACAGGGCTAACGCACAAGCAGTGATGCGTTATCGACAGCCATGCTTATACAGGGCGACGCTGCATCGTTCAGGCCCATGTTTTGCGCGACATGGTGAAACCGTTGTGGTATGGTGATGGATTGGGCTCAATTCTTGCATGGACCTTATAGAAGGTGCATAAAGGGAGTGGTATGAAGCACAGGGCTAACGCACAAGCGGTGATGCGTTATCGACAGCCATGCTTATACAGGGCGACGTAGCATCGTTCAGGCCCATGTTTTGCGCGACATGGTGAAACCGTTGTGGTATGGTGTTGGATTGGGCTCAATTCTTGCATGGACCTTATACAAGGTGCATAAAGGGAGTGGTATGAAGCACAGGGCTAACGCACAAGCGGTGATGCGCTATCGACAGCCATGCTTATACAGGGCGACGCTGCATCGTTCAGGCCCATGTTTTGCGCGACATGGTGAAACCGTTGTGGTATGGTGTTGGATTGGGCTCAATTCTTGCATGGACCTTATACAAGGTGCATAAAGGGAGTGGTATGAAGCACAGGGCTAACGCACAAGCGGTGATGCGTTATCGACAGCCATGCTTATACAGGGCGACGCTGCATCGTTCAGGCCCATGTTTTGCGCGACATGGTGAAACTGTTGTGGTATGGTGTTGGATTGGGCTCAATTCTTGCATGGACCTTATAAAAGGTGCATAAAGGGAGTGGTATGAAGCACAGGGCTAATGCACAAGCGGTGATGCGTTATCGACAGCCATGCTTATACAGGGCGACGCTACTGTGAAAGAATAGACGAAAGAATGATTGAATTAGGAAATGAGAAGGGTACAAGTAGAAAACACATAAGTGTTGTACCCTCTAAGGACTACCCCACTACAGCCTAGACAGACTATAGTAAATATATGTTTGACACACCCCCATAGGCAAAGTGGGGGAGAACAAGGGGTCACAAGACCAGTCAAGAAAGACAAAGCAAACTCAGGGTGGATCACAAAGTCACCACACAGTCTGAGCACAAGCAAAGGGCCAGAAGGCCAGTTTACATGCAGAGTTATATAAAGGAAAGCAAACAATACAGTGAACACAACCTAGCAAGTGTAAGCATGCAGGTATAAGTATATAGAGTACAGTACAAGCAGAGTCAAGAAGTCAACAAGTGAGGCACAGTAGGTACAAGGCCTGACACAGTACAGAAACGCTGATGATCACAAGGCTGAAGTGCCTTGGTGAAAACATCAGCAGTGTTGGCCTGAGAGGCCACGTAAGCAAGACGAAGCTGACCACGCTGCTGCAACTCTCGAGCAAGGAAGTAACGCAGAGCAATGTGCTTCGTTCTGTGCTCCAGTCTGTGCTCCTGACACAAGGCCAGCATGGCCTTGTTGTCGACGTACAGAACTGGAGGAGAACGAGGCGCCTCTCCCAAGTCGGTCAGCAGGTAGGTGAGCCAGCGAAGCTCCTGTGAAGCCATGGCCCCAGCGTAGATCTCAGCCTCGCAACTGGAGCTGAGAACAGAAGAAGAGCGGGTAGACCGCTAGGAGACAGAACCGGAGCCAAGGCTGAAGGTGTAACCCTGTGACGACCGCTGCGTAGCCAAGTCGTCAACCCAGGAGGCGTCTGCGTGACAAGTGAGGACAACTCGAGCCCGTCCTCCAAGCACGAGCCCCATGCCCAATGTACTGCACAAGTATCGCAACACCCTCTTCGCAGCATCCCAGTGCACCTTTCGGTGCCTGCCGGGAGCCACGTAGCGAGCCAGAAGGCTGAGAGGGTATGCGAGGTCAGGTCGTGTGCAAGTCATCAGGTACATGAGGCAGCCCACAAGCTCTGGATACGGGCCACTCGGCTCTACGGACTCGTCCGAAGGTGGAGCTGAGAGCGAGTGACCGGTAGGCAGAGGAGTGGACTGTGGCGAGGAGTAGGTGAAGCCGAAGCGCTGAAGGACCTGCTGCACCATGTGTGACTGAGTCAAGGTAATGGTGCGTTGTGCTCTGTCCCGGGTGATCCGCAAGCCAAGATAGCTTGTGAGCTCACCCAGGTCTGTGCACGTGTGTCTCTTCTGCAGCTCGGACTTCACGTGGGCGAGTGCCTCCGTGTCAGCAGTAGCAAAGACAAGGTCGTCTACGTACACAAGAACGTAGAACGGCGGCAGAGTAGCGTCAGTGCGTAGAAACAGAGAAGGGTCAGCAGTGGAAGGAGCAAAACCAAGAGCAGCAAGAGTCGTCCTGAGCGTGTCGTGCCACTCACGGGGCGCCTGGCGGAGACCGTAGACTGGCCGCCGGAGGCTCCACTGGGTACCAGTAGGAAACGACCCAGTGAAGCCAGGTGGGCGGCGCAGCCAGATCTCCTCGTGCAGGCTGCCCTGTAGGAACGTGCAGCAGTACCCGAAGAGTGGTCATCTTCGGGGTAGGGGAGAAGGTCTGAAAGAAGTCAACTCCCTGTCGCTGACTGAAGCCACGTGCAACGTAACGCGCCTTGAAGGCAGGCGGAGAACCCGGCGGCCGCTTCACCCTGAAGATCCACATGCCACTGACGATGTTTGCCCCAGGTGGGGGAACCTCGTCTACGTAGGTGCCTGTGGACTTCCAGGAAGCCATCTCTGCGTCCATGGCTGCCTGCCACTGAGAGGAGTAGGGACCCTCTATCGCCTCTGCATAAGAGCGCGGGGTCGGGATGTCTAGTGCATCCGGGTCTCCCTCAGGGGCAAGCAGCATGGACACGAGATGAGGTGAAGCAGCAGCAAAACACTCAAGGTCCTCCTGTCTGTCCTCAAGGACGTCCGTGCCAAGAGCACACTCACCCCCGACAGACGGAGGACAGACAGACGCAGACGCAGACTCAGCAACAAGACTAGCAGCGTAGTCTACGCGAGAGGCTGCAGCAAAGTCAACAAGCTCAGCAACAAGAGCAGACGCAGCAGAGGACTCAAACAGAGGGTCAGTGACAGCAGTGGCCACAAAGCGGGTGACAGTAGGACTAGCAGCACGAAGGGAGTCAGACTCCGGGTCCGGACCGTCAGGAAGAGAGGACGCAGGAGGAGAGGGCAGAGGGACACGCTGTGGAGCAGTAGAAGGACGCAGTGTCATAGAGTGAGTGCCTGGGACAGGAGGGAGACGCGGACGCGAAACACGACCAGCTCGAACAGTACGGACAGGCGACGCAGGACGAGACTCAGGCTCACGACGCTCCGTAAGATCTCTAGTCGGACCAGAGTAAGGAGAAGGACCAGGCAGTGGAGAGTCCGGCTGCAACTGCGACTGGGACTGGACATGCGGTGGAGTCAGGAAAGGAGGAGGAGGACCAGGAGGAGGCGGGGAGCCAAGAACCTGCTGAAGGAGCGGAACGTAGTACGGCCGCGGCCTCACAGCGCCTCCAGCAGCTCCAGCACCAGCACCACCAGCAACAGCAGCACCTCCAGCAGCTCCAGCACCAGCACCACCTCCAGTAGCACCAGCACCTCCAGCAGCTCCAGCAGCTCCAGCACCAGCAGCACCTCCAGCAGCTCCAGCACCAGCACCACCTCCAGCAGCACCAGCACCTCCAACAGCTCCAGCAGCTCCAGCACCAGCAGCACCTCCAGCAGCTCCAGCACCAGCACCACCTCCAGCAGCACCAGCACCTCCAGCAGCTCCAGCACCAACAGCACCAGCAGCACCCCCAGCAGCAACCCGACAGCGCCGAGAGTACCACTCACGAAGCCGCTGTGGAGAGAGGGGCTCCCGCCGTGACGGGACACCTAGAGCACCTCCAGACGCAGCACGTGCAGGCTCAGCACCTCCAGACACAGTACCCTCAGGCGCCACACCCCCAGGCTCAGCACGCCCAGTCTCAGCACCCCCAGACTCAGCACCCCCAGACTCAGCACCCCCAGTCCCCGCACCCGCAGGGTCAGCACCCCTAGCAGCACCTGAGTCGACAGCTACCTCGACCGA